TCAGAAAGGTAGAGTGTGTTTTAAACAAATCAGGTGTCATTGTCTATCACTGCTTTACATTAACAATCCCATATATGTATGTGAGGATGTATTCAGTGGGGCATACTGCCTGCTAAACATGAATAGGCAAAGGAAGGTATAGATGAATGTTTTTGTAAACACTCTAATAGCTGCTCATTATTGTGCAAAATGGCCACTGGTTCTTTATCACAGAGAGGCTTCCTCCAGGGTATGTAACAAAACATCACTTCATATAATGAAAGCAATGCCTCTTGTCTTTAAGGTAAATAAATATCAAAACCGCTTTATACCTATGCAGGTTTATTCAGTGTCTGAAATTCCTGAAGATACCTGGCTTTCTGTTGGTGTTCATGTGTTTTTGGTTTGATAAGGCCAGCTTAGAATGAGAGCATTCCTGGATTCCATGTATTATAATATTTTTATAATCAAACACAAATGATTTTGTGTGCATAAACAATGCCCATGTGGTGAATGGGCACTTACAGAGGAACTGAACTGCCATTTGAATCTTCAGATGTGACAGGAATCCCAGAGCTTGAACAATGGAGACCACTGAATGCCACTAGACAGCCCTGGTCTTTGCTGAACAATAAGTTCCATTGAATCTAGCAGGGTTTTCTATTAAGTAATATTGGAACAGGGGGGAGAGACATGAAAAATGGAAAATGATTTATTGTGAGTCCTAAACAAACAAACAAACATGTGGAGATGCTTGGCCAAACCATTTCAGGTGGGCCACAGGTCAGAAAAAAGAAAATATGTCGACTTCCGGTTTGCTGTTTGTTGCTGCCAGACGTTCCTTTGGGATCGTCAGCTTCCACTGCCTGTCAGAGCCGCCTTCACAACGGAATGGCGGCTCGAAAAAACTCTGTTTCCATGAGGAAACGGAGATAGAGCCGGCAGGGGTGGGTAGAACTCTCTGCGGAGTCCCAAAAGTTTTTTTTTTACTTTTGGGACGGAGCGGATGAGATGCCCCGTATCCCCAGCCGCCGCTCCGGGCTTTGGGAGACCTCTGCTGATGCAGAGCCAGGCGTCAAAAGCAAGCCTGCAAATTTAACAGACTACTCAAAGAAAATGTGAGCTGGACCTGTAATATTGAACCGCAAGTATTTTACTGATTTTTTAAAAAAGAAATTACTTAAGAGAGAGGAGGAGAGGAAGGAGGAAGGAGGGAAAAAAAAAGCCTTTTAAAATGGCGTTGGCTGGAGGAGAGGCTTCCGTTTTCTATTACTACAATGTAGCGGAATAAATACCACTGGCTACATTTGTAGACAAAACTTCGCTCCTGTGTCTTTTTCTCTTTTTTTTTTTTTTTCCCTTGGAGACCTGATATTGTTGTTGATTGGAAAGAAGTCCTTTTTTTTTTTTTTCTTGCTTTTTTTTTTAACAAAGCCTGCCTGGGCGGAAACATGGCACTGAGACTCATAAAGTCAGATAAACAAGAAGGGGGGGATCCCCCCACCAACAACTTAAAGGAACAAGTCTTAATTCTTCAGTCTCAGAAACCTGATTTTAATATAATAGAATTTTTTATAGAGGAGATTGAAAGAAGGGAGGAGATTGTGAATCAGCAATTTGAAAAATTTAAGCAGGAAATTAAAGAATTGGTGAAATCTAAGTTTGATTTTTTGGAGAAAAAATTCTCAAAAGTGGTTAATGGTTTTACAGGATTTATGATGCAGTTGGACACAAATACTAATGTACTAGAGTCTAAAATGGAAGAAATTCAAGATAAATTGGACAATAGAATTCAAAAAATTGAAAATGATTTGACAAACACTCAGGATAATAGCTTAGAAGAAAAATCTAAAATGGATGCTGATCAAAAGTATGGTAATGTAGAAAATCTGCAACAGAAGATTGAAAAAGAGATTTTAATGGTACAATATAATTTCACAGAATATGCGATAAGATTAAGAGGTTTGCAGGAAAATAATAGAGATGATTTAAGGAAAATATCTTCTGAATTTCTAGCTGGGATTCTAAAGGTTCAACCTGACGAAGTGTTTTGTAGGATCGACAGAGCTTATCGAATCAACTCCTGGATTGCTAAGCAAAGGCAATTGCCTAGAGATGTGGTGATTTATTTTACAGATAAGGAAATTAGGAATAATATCGTTCAAAATTCCTTCAATTCTAATTTGCAATTGTATGGAAGAAAGATTTGGATTTACAAGGAACTCCCACCTAAGATACTGATGGAAAGGAAGAAATTTGGTTTTCTGGTGAATGAGTTAAAAAAGAGAAATATCTCCTACAGGTGGGACGCCCCAGTTGGTATTATATTTAGATACCAAGGAGAAAGATATCAGCTAAATACTGTTGAAAGAGCGGAAGAATTTTATCAAAATAGGTTGAAAATGAATTTAACATCTCCAGGTATAATACAGGATAAGCAGAAGGAGCCGGAAATAAAGGTAAAATTTCGAATTACAGAGACTGTACCAGATGAATTGCCTTTGGATTTATTGGATACCCCAGCTGGACTATCTACAAATTTGAGAGAAGAGGCATCTAATCTTAATGTGATGACTTATCAAGGCAAGGATAAACATGGAAACCAATTAGGGGATATACAAGGGATAAAAAAGAAATATGAGATACAAAAGCAAAACCAACAAGACCAATCTACAAAGCAGAATAAAAACCGACCAGATGATACATATTTTGTAAAAAGGGAACCAGGATGGAAACCAAACCCACAAAAAGAAAAGAAAAAAAGAAATAGGTGGCATAGAAATAGAAATTTCTAAATCAGGCAACAGTGAAGCCAGTGATTTTAAAATATGAACGATTATGTGTAAATACAGAAGAGGCGACGTATTGGTTAATATCATCCTGAGGTTTGTGGCAGATCTCTGCATGGCCGTAATCTGGGGACGTGAAACGAGCCTTAAACTGATGGATTTGAATTATCCATTTTGGAATTTCTTTTTGTGTTGATAAACATATTATATTATCTTGAATCACAAGGCAAGAGAATTATGCTGGGGCATGCAGAAGATCGGGTTGTTACCCACTACGATGATGGGAATTAATAATCCTGATGAAACCCACAATTATTACTATATGGAATATAATTATAATGTCACTCGGGTAGTTGTTTTTACTTTTATACATATAAGAAGATATTTACTACTGATGGGGGCAGATATGATTGAAGACCCTGAATAAACTGTTGCACCAGTGAGCTATGTTACCCGATTATGGATGTTGGTTCTACTAATCCAGTGGAAAGACCTCAAAGAAGATACTATATGGATTATAAATTTAAAGTCATTGTCTTTTCTTTTTTTTTTATTTAGATATAATGGAAAATATAGACATATATTTTTAAGTAGTGTGGGCAGTGAATCAAAGATGTTAAGAAATGTTGTGTATGGCAATTTTGCATGATAGTGGGTGAATAAGCTAGTTAGTAGATTGACTAGTCTAAGAAAAGGGATTTTTAAGTGTTATACTTGGGGGAGTGGAGGAAATGGATAGAGTGGAATAAATGTTAAACTAGATTTTATGGGGAAGGCCGCTTTGAAATGTTATAGTAATATATATAGAAGATTAAATGTTAAAGTAGGACTTATCGTACAGTTTTAAAGTGGAGAAGTTATTCTACAATGTCATAGTATAATGTCTTTTTTTTTTCCTTTCTTTTCTCTTTTTTGATATGTATGGATAAAGGGGGATGTTATAATATTAATAATATTTTTAGTAAGTAAAGGTCAATATCTAGAGGAGGGAGTAAGTAATCTGTTCTGAATTAGGTTTTTTTTGTTATGAAGAAGTCACAGGGGGGATGGGTGGGGAGGGGGGGTTAGGGAGGGGGAGGGAGAGGGGAAAAAAGGGGGAAAAATTTGTATTTGAAAACTTTTTCAATAAAAAAAAAGAAAAGAAAAAAGAAAATATGTCTTGTTGGGTTGAGATGTATTTCACCTAAAGCAAAATCTGGAGGGATTTGACAGGGCAAGAAAGGCACGGTCTACCTTCCTTCCACCCTTGTACAGCCTGGATATCAGCCCACCCTTCTTCCCTTCAACTATCATTGCTAATGTTCCAGCATGCTCACTTTTGCTTTTTCCAAGACCTCTCCCTCCCCCCTGCCTCTCTCTCTCATGACTATTTTTTACAGCAGTCATTAAGTGAACCAATAGTTCTCTATGGATGCAGTTTTGCTGAAAATTGGAAGTAGCCATAGTAATAGAACTCACTTACAGTATATACCGCTTCACCATGCTTTACAGCCCTCTCTAAGCAGTTTACAGAGTCAACATATTGCCCCCAACAATCTGAGATTCTCATTTTACCAACCTCGGAAGGATGGAAGACTGAGTCAACCTTGAGCCTGGTGAATTCGAACTGCCAAATTGCAGTCAGCCAGTAGTCAGCAGAAGTAGCCTGCAATACTGCATTGTAAACACTGTGCCAGCACAGCTCATAAATAAATGCTGGTTTTTTGCAAAACTATTATAAAACGTGGTCATGTGACTGCTGGGGTGAATCTGGATTGTAAATACCTCGGAGATATGTCTGCAAGAACTTCAAATGGTCACTAAACAACTGATCATAAGTTGAGGACTATATGTATTTTTAAAATGGACTTTAATTTAAAAAAAAAAAATAGGTAGGGCAAAGACCTAATTCCATACTTTCTGTAAACTGATAACAAGCTACATAAATTCTTCCAATGTTGTTGAATTCTTGTTAACATCAGACCATTCAAACAGATCAATGGTAGAGTAATAGGAGCCACAATTCCAGATTTTCAAGTTGTCCATCCCTGGGTTTCAGAAGCCTTCTTCCCATCAGTTGATCTTGAGTTTTTCTAACATATTATTATTTATTACAACCTTCCTAGGTTTCTATTACAACGTATATTTTTATGTTACGGTTGTGTTCCTTTATGCTGCCTAGATTTCCTGTATCTGAGAGGAAGAATAAAAATATAATCAAATAAAACATTAAATTCTGTCTCTAAATCACAGATTTCCTGCCTCTGAAAAGAATGCGGCAACTCTTTTGGGTCCAGGCCCTGATTCACTCAAGGCAGTTTTGACATCAACTGCTCTCCCAGCTTTATTCTCAGTCTGCCAAGAGGACTTGTGTTGTAATGGAGGAAGTTGCCACCAGATTAATCTTCCTGATGGTGTGACCTCATTTCGATGTGACTGCGCTCTTCATTTCACTGGGCGTTTCTGTGAAAAAGGTAAATGTTTCTCTTTTGGCACCCAATTTGGCTTAGAATAGTGTTTCACCTATTTTTCAGATTAATTCCTAAGATTTTGACCTTTATATATTACTATCTGTATTAATACATAAAAACAAACATAAAACACTCAGGTCAAAAATGTCTACAACATACTGGAAATTCACATGCCATCCCTTCTGCTCCTAAAACAGAAAGCATTTCTTAACAGAGAGAAAATATTATAGAAAATATATAGAATATTATGTAAACATCATTACCATGTTTTATAAGATTTCTAAAAGACTTTGGAATATTTAATTTTTAATAGAGCTTGGCTCATTATTCTTATGCATGTTTGACAAAACTGTCCCCAGCTTACTTTGTTTACTATATCTTGTTCTATTACAGAATTTGTACATGAATGTGGGGGAAATTTGTGTGTGTCAGCATGAAAAGAAAGTATGTTGTTTGTTTGTTATGTTGGAAGTGTCTATCTCTTTCTTGAATCTCATTAAGAAGCGCACATGGGGTAAATGTGACTGCTTATACAATTTTGTCCTAAGTGTTTGCCTTATACTCATATACTGTATATCAGGGCTGTCAAACTCCTGGCCCGTGGACCGGATGCGTCATGAGCTGGGCATGCCCACGCCTGGTTTAGCGAAGGGGGGAAAGCCCCAATATATCACATGACAACGCCGTGACGATGTGAGTTTGACACCCCTACTGTATATCATTGAGTTGGGGAAAAAGAGTTATACAGCAAGCAATATTTTCTGAGAAATTAGAAAGTAGTTTGGGGATTTTTTTTTTATTCTTATGATATTTTGGGATTAACAGGCTTCCTCATCTCTGTTTAGGAACTAACGAAAAATATTGATTGGTTGACAGAGATGGATGACTGATAGATGACTGTTGAGAGGGCGGAGTGGGAGGGAGAAGGAGACAGATGATAGATAGATAAATAGATAGATAGATAGATAGATAGATGGATGGATGGATGGATGGATGGATGGATGGATGGATGGATGGATAGATAGATATTGTAGATAGATAGATAGATGATAGATAGATAGATAGATAGATAGATAGATAGATAGATAGATAGATAGATAGATAGATAGATAATGATGATAGATGGATGGATGGATGGAGAGAGAGAGAGAGAGAAGAGAGAGAAAGCTAGATGATAGAGATAGATGGATGGATGGATGGATAGATAGATAGATAGATAGATAGATAGATAGATAGATAGACAGACAGACAGACAGACAGACAGACAGACAGACAGAAGATAGACAGACAGACAGACAGACAGATATAATCAAGATTATAAGTTTCTATATCAGGAAACTGTTTCCATCATAACTAAGGAGACGCTTATGGAAAGCCCAGAAACAGAACTTGTGTGCAGTAACTTTCTTCCCTTCTGGTTCTCCAATAACTTTTCTTCAACCACTTCATGAAAAACAATTTGCTTAACAAATTCTTTCCAAGGAAAAGGCAAGGATTCCAAGGAGAATTCCAAGGATATTGCCATGAATAGTGTGTGACAGTCTTGTACCTTAGTTATGGGGGTGGGGGGCAAGGATATATGTAAAGGTTCCATACTTTACCGTGCAATAATGTTTTCTGTGGCTTTGGACTTTCCTGGTTGCTCCTACTTCCATTAAAGCACAAGACAAGAGATTGTAAGAAAACTTCCTTTACTGGTTTTTTAGTATCACTGTTTGTCATAGATAAGGAGGGGACCTACTCTTGAGAAATTATTGGAGAATCTCTCCAAAACTTTAACCTTAGACTGTCTACTGTCAACCTCACCCCATTCCTAAGAGGTCTTTAAGGGGCATGCATAAGCACACCAGCATGCCTACCATCCCTGTCCTAATATTCCCTTTTATTTATATCTATACGTGAGACCTTAGGACTCCATAAGTTCACTTCAACTTCATGTTGCCCCATTTGTAGGCCCAAGTTCAATGTAGCCTCCACAAAGGAGTACAAATTGAACAAAGAAGCTCCTATTATAAGTACTTTGCTTATATATGTGGTAAAAGCAGTTTTATCTCTTTAATCCTGTCTTGCAGGAGAAGGAAATGCTATATCTTTCAATAATTTGGGGATGATTAAGATGGGTGTGTGTGTGTCAGAAATCTACTAATGATTTACAGTAAGGAAATTATTCCTGAATAAATAGCAAAGCCTTCCATACTATTCATGTGTCACTCTCTCCTTGCTATTATTTAAATGGTTACATGGTTAAACATGCCTTTTCCAATGGTATGAAACAAAATTACTTAAGTTTTCTGCCCACATTGAGTTATCATGAGCAAACAGGATTTAATAACTTTGGACCTTAAAACAAATGAAATTCGCAGTTATCCTTATGGAAGATATAAACCTTCTAAACCAAATCCGTCAATATCTATTGTTTTCTGTATATTCAGTTGTAAACATTTTATCCACTTAGTTCCCATAAACTTGCATTTCTTCGATATGTTTGGTGCTTCAATTAAATGACTCTGAGCAGCAAAAATACATTCCCTTTATTGATGCTGGATAATATCCATTACAATTATTGAGAATTACTAGTGTGTAGCAAAATGAAAGAGTATCCATATTATAATTAAACTCTAATACCCTTCTAATAGACTTTCTATTGTATGAAATAAGGACATGGCAACCAGAGCCAAAAATGCACTTGCCAGATTGTCAATATATCTGAAACTAATAGAAACCAAGCTGGCAAAGCAGACCAAAAGTAGGTCATTATATTGTATGTGAATCCAATAAATGACTAGGCTAGAAATGATTGGTCCTAGTTAATGAGGCCTCAGCTTTCAGAAAGTATTAATTTTTAAAATCCCTTTCCCATGTTTGTGATAGATTAAATAGCATTTGTGTGTTTCAAATTGCAGTGGGTGAAGAACTGATCTGTGGGATCACATTTTACACAATGGTGTAATAAGTACCCGGATGTTAGGGACGTGTGCCAGAGAATAGAAAGGGGCATTTAAGATTTGGTTGTAACTAGCTTTTCTTGAAAAACTAGATTTTGAAAAGCAATTAAGAGTTTCAACACCCTATCTCTGAAGTGTCCAGTCTATTTTATATTCATATATATTCAGTCTATATTCTTGCTATAAATATGGCTTGTCTAGATTCTTCTTCCCATAGGGAATTAATTCCCTAAATGCCTCTAAAGCAGGGGTGTCAAACTCGCAGCCTGCAGGTCGGATGCGTCACATGCTGGCCATGCCCTCGCCCGGTTTAGCGAAGGGGAAAAAAGTCATAACACATCATGTGACGACGCTATGATGACGTGAGTTTGACACCCCTGCTCTAAAGAAATTAATTTATGAAACCTCAGAAAATCATAGCACTAAACTACACTAAATTGGACTGTGTTTATTTGATTGACACTAGACTATACTGTAAAGTGTAAAGATGATGACCTTGACAGGTCATTTGTGTTTATTTGCTCACCACTACATTGTACTGGACACAGGTACAATGTGAGGATGGCTTTGACAAAGAGAGGGAAGAACAAAAAGAGAAATATTAAGTCCAAATAATGGGGTAGAATTATAAAAATTAGAAAAACATTTCAGATAGACACTCCCACTGGAATATAAAAGACGAGGGGAAGCCCTATCAGACTTCCAAGGTAATGTTATTATAGCCAACAAAAATTAAATTAAATTAAATTAAATTAATTTAAATTAAATAAATCTTGCTTTAAATTAAATTAAAGCAAAACAAAACAAAACAAAGGAGAATATTTGTACCTCAGGGTTGAAATGAGGGACCCTTGGTGTTCTCTGAGTTTGCTTGTTTTCTTGCAGACATTGCATTACCCCAGGGGTGTCAAACTGGCGGCCCACAGGCCAGATGTGTCACATGCAGGCCACACCCACCCCAGTTCCGCAAAGGGAAAAAACATTGCGATACGTCACAGGATGGCAATGTGACACTGCGAGTTTGATACCTGTGCATTACCCTAACTAAGTAACATAATCAGTGCTAGATAAAAGTGCTAGGTAACATCATCTAGCACTGATGATGTTACCTGGTTAGGGTAATGAAACGTCTACAAGAAAACAAGCAAGTTCAGAGAGCACCGAGGACCTCTCACTATAGTCAAACTATAAAGTATTTTTTAGTCTTCCATGTAGCCTTTTTTTTTTTTTTAATCTGATCTGCCTGGTAGGGTTGATAATACTAGGAACTTCTTCTGAGTTTGTTTAAGCTCCCCATACCCTGGGGTGCACATTTCAGTCCCATTGTATGGGAACCTCTTCCTTTACTGGTGCTTCTTGAGTGATTGTATGATGAAGCCTTAGTGGCGCAGCAGACTAAAGCACTGTTAAGTAACACCAGCTGCCTGCAATTACTGCAAGTTCAAATCTCACCAGGCTCAAGGTTGACTCAGCCTTCCATCCTTTCGAGGTAGGTAAAATGAGGACCCGGTTTGTGGGGGCAATAAGCTGACTTTGTATAAAAAAGAACACCGCTTAGGAGGGGCCAAAAGCCCTACTAAGAAGGTATATACAAAAATATGAAGGTTATTGCTTAATGCACGGTAAGCGGCCCAGAGTCTCTGGAAAAGGGTGGGATATAAATCGAACCGATAAATAAATAAATAAATAAATAAATAAATAAATACATACATACATACATACATACATACATACATACATACATACATACATAAATAAGCAATATCACATATGACAATGTGGAGCTTCCAGCTTTGGGTTACAAAAACCCAGATGATCGCCAGAAACCACAGAAAGGAAAGGAATATCTAACTTTTGGGGTCATTTGCTGGTCATTTGGATTTTTCCACTCCCAAAATGCCATCCAGTTTTGTGAATATTTCTTCTGAGAAAAAAAAAAATCTAGAAAAATAGGATGCTAGATCTGAAAATCACCTGCTAATTCGGATGGTAAAATGACCTGGATTTTGAACAATCTTCACATCCCAAGTATGTATGTATGTATATATGTAGCCATAA